AGAGAATTCTTTGGGGGTTTTGTTAGTGATAAATATGCTCTGAAAGTCTTTGCAAGAATGCACTTTTCCCTGAAAAGGGCTTGTGCACCTGAATGCTTGCCTGCTTTTTCCCAATTCTGCTGTTAATCAGGAAGAAGACACTAGTTCTTCTACCAACTTGGCTTTGCCTAAGGAAAAAAATGTGCCTTTTTGTGCATAATTGTATAGGTCGGGTTGTATTTTTCCACTTCTCTCATTTTCAAGCTGTTTGACCATTGGAAATACATTCCCTTGGTGTCCAGTGGATCTTCACTCCTGTAAAGTGTTTCTGAGGGGTGTGTGTTTTTAAGGCATTTACAGAGGGATGCAATTAAATATGCAAAAGTTAACAGTTACTTCAGCATCCCACTATTGTTCTTCTTACTGCATGTGGTTTGTATATCCAGCCATAACTCTCTGGTACATTTGGGTTTCACAGCCTGAAGCAAGCTTCCTGCTTTATGGTACCTTAAAAAAAAAAATAAAAAATTGTCGAGAGAGAGAGAGAGATGTATATACACACACGTTTCTCTATTCTTACTTCTGTAGAGTGTGGAACGTCCATCCTTACGAACCAGAGGAGTTTGAGTGGCTGCAGGCTACTTCATTTTTTGGGGGGTTCCCACTGTGCTCCCTTGACATCCCAGAGCAGCTTTGTTCCGCATTTCCAGAGCGGGTTCTGCATGTGACTGCAGAGAAAATCAGCGCTTTTGTATGCATGCCTTTGTTTTTCTTTATTTTGCTGGGAGAAACCAAGGTAGAACTGATTCATTCTGGTGAGGCATGCCTTTACTATTGTTTCACAGGTTATTTTGAGGGATGGTTTCCCCTGGGATTTTTCCTCTCTTGGCTTTTTGACCTTTTCGCATCCCATAGTGATTTTCTTGATTAAAAGTATGGAGTCATAATGGGTTTACATGGTGTTTCTAAAACTAAGGTAATTTGAGGGCTTTAGGTTGGGGGAGGAGGAAAATGGTAATCGTTCCAACCTTTTCTGCCGCTGTTGCGTAGCTGTACAGAGAAGATACGACCTCTTTTTGGGGAGCGGGTATGTGCTTGCTGGGCTCCTCAAAAATACTCTTGCTTTACAAGCACAGAGGCTGAGGGAATCAATTCTCCATGACTCCGAGGACGAGGAGTTTCAGCAAAGAGACGGACCAGGGCAATAATTTCTTTCAGACCTCCCCAGAAGGGATGGATGCCGCAGCCGGGGTGCTCCAGCGGAGCCCTGCCCTGCTCGGCCGGCGCAGATGTGTTCGCTCCGCACCTCCTCGTCCCCTGGGCCGGGGCCACCCACGCTCGTGGTCCGGCTCCGGCATCTCATCTCTTTCCCAGACCCGGCAAAGGTCCAAATCACAAGCTGCGGTGAGGGGGACGAGCGTGGGGCACCCGAGCTTAGCGGGCAGGTGCCCCTTCAAGCCCTGCGAGTGCGTTTGCTCAGCATTTCCCTGAAAGGATTCAACTGATACTTGTGCAAAACGTTTCTGGGCGGTTTTAAAATTCTGGGAGGCGTTCAGCTGTGGGAACGGCCACAGCAGGTCGACCGAGACGCCTGCCCAGCCCGCTGCTTTGCTCCCCACGCGGGGAGGGAGCCCGCAGAAGCCGCCCTGGTCGCTCAGCGTGTTTTTCAGACATTCTAAGCGTTGCTTTCAGCGACCTCCGTGTCGTAGTGCTGTGCTAGTGTCCAGCCAGCAGCATTTCACTGAAGGTGATTTCTCCTTGTGCATCCGTCTGTGTGGCTGCATCGTGTTTTGCTAGATGGGTGGCAAACATCTGCTCGTTCTGCTCCGCAAATCCTCTCCCTCGTTACGGCCACGCCAAATAACAGGGAGTAGATGAGTTTAATTTAAGGCGCAACAACATGCACCCCTGCGTCCAGACCAAAAGCTGCGGAGTCCAAGAGCTGCGAGTGAATATATTAATCGTATCTCAGGGGGTGGTGAATGGAAAAAACATCTCTTGCTCTTCCAGCCAGCGCAGCTGTGCCAGCCACTGGTCCCCAGCTGACCCGGCGGCCGAGCATCCCCCGACCTCCCGCAGCTGCAGCCCCTGGAACAACGGACCCCTTGACTCATCGGAGAGAAAATTTGCCTTCGTCAGCGCAGCCGCGTGGGGCTCAGCGATGCGCTGCACCCGGCAAGGCAGCTTGGCCACCCTTTGCCCTGAACTCCGGAGGGTGATCCGTCCTGAGCAGCTCCCTCCATCCGGAGGGGGACCCCTCTGAACCCCTGTACGCCGGTCGCCGTAGGTTAAATGCCGTTACTTGCATGATTAAAAGTGCTGTGGGAGCAGCCCCTAGGACAAACCCCTCTCTCTGTCTTTTTGCTCGCAGCAGTTGCGTCCGTTGGCAGGGTAAGCGCGGGGGAGTGGCGTGTCGCTTCTTCAGGAAAGCTCGGTTTCGTGGGGTCGGTCTCAAAGCGGTGTGTGCTCCTAGCTAGTGTGGGCACAGTTGCTGTCACGAGCTATTTGTATTGGGTTTTTTTTCTAAAAGGTACGTTTCAGTCGTTCACCCTCACTATCATTTCTCTTTCTGACTTGGTCTTATCAGAAAGACAAAGTTGAATGGATAGATTACTTTTAGCCAATATTTAGTATTTTTCTGACTGCTCGGTGATAAGTGAGATACAAGAATAAAACCTGGGTGAGAACAGAGTAGCAGAGTTAGGATTGTTCAGGCTGGAGAAGAGGAGGCTCCGGGGAGACCCTCTTGCAGCCTTTCAATATATAAAGGGGCTTACAAGAAAGATGGAGAGAGACTTTTTACCAAGGCCTGTGGTGACAGGACAAGGGGCAAGGGCTTTAAACTGGAAGAGGGTAGGGTTAGGCTGGACACAGGGAAGAAACTTCATGATGGGAGTGGCGAGATGCTGGAACAGGTTGTCGAGAGAAGCTGTGGATGCTCCATCATTGGAAATGTTTGAGGTCAGGGTGGATGGGGCTTTGAGCAGCCTGGTCTGGTGGAAGGTGTCCCTGCCATGGCAGGGAGGGGATGGATGAGATGGACTTTAAAGCTCCCTTCCAACCCAAACTATTCTGTGATCCTATGAAGATTTGAACAATTGTCTGTCTTAAAAAAAAAAAAAAAAAAAAAAGCTCAGCAATGTTGAATGTATGTTCTCCTAGCTGAAAACAAATAGCTTTGTACTCCACGTTCATGATCTGAAGAGCCTCCTCTGGGGACGAGAGGGGTTGCGGAAGATGCTGCAGGTGCCTGTGACAATTCCAGTGACTGCTAGTAGTTCTGTTTCTTTACAGCATGGGTGGGAGGGTGACATGCAAGAATCCAGCTTACACCTGGCAGGAAAAGAAATCAGTGTACTTATCACTAATCTGCGTGTCAGTGCCCAGAGGTGGAGAAGGAGGTGGCATGGTGCGAGCTTACCATTTACACTGCAGCTTTTCAGAATTGTGGATGTTGTCTTAAAATTGTATTTGTAATAGCAGGGAAAGGAAACCTGTTTTTTTTGACATAATTAGGGGTTGTGCCACTACAAAATCTTCTCAAGATGAAAAATGTTGGTTTTAGCGTTAGTGCCGGGAGCAGGTCGTGTGCCACCTGGCCAAAGGCAGCAGGGTGAGCTGGGGTGGGAAGCGGCACATCTGAACGGGCTGGTTCCCCCTGCTTCATTTTCAGTGCTCTTATTTAGTCATGTTTTGTAAAGCTCAAGTAGGAGAGCCAAGTAATAACGGCATTCAAAAGCAGCGCTGATGATTTCATTGACATTTTAACCTGAATTATAATGCAGTTTGTTCCGTCAATTAGTTCTACAATGTTTCAATTTGATTTAAATAAGCTGTTTAAAAAAAAACCCTTCGCTTTTTGCTCATCCCTTGCCCTGCTTCGTTGTGCGGGGGAAGGTACTGGCAGTGTCCGCAGGAGCATCCTGCTCCTGCGCTCCGTGCCTGGGTCCGCGTGGTGGGATGCAGGCACTTAGGGAAGATGGGCTCTGCCCCTTGTTCTCTCCATTTGCTAAGACTTGTTGTAAGTGAGAGCCTCCAGTTCTCCATCCGATGCTGTGACTGGTCCTTCCCTAGGTAGGTAAGTGCCAGCTTTTACTTGCCGTTGCTTTTTATGTACGCTTAAAAGTATAACTGTGCGTGTCGTGAGGCTGCGGGGAGCTGGTCCCAGGCCATCCCGCAGCGTTTTGGGGTCTTTTCGGACACAACATCATTGCAATGACAAAAATATCAGGAATTGCGATAAATGCAGACGTGCCTGCGCACAGGTGGAAATAAACTGCTCGGGAATTTGAGAAACGCTTTGGGGGTTTCTTTTGGGGAAGTCCTTTGGTTTCCCAAATCCTGTTCCTGGGTTGGGATGTTGATGTAATGACTGTCAAAGAGTTTTTAATGCAGCAACTATTTTATCATGAATAAGAGGTCGCTACATAGAATTTTTACCTCTTGGCAAAAGTCATGTTATAAAGATGTACTTGCTCTGGGTTTAAAGTGTTAATTTATGTGGTATCCCGAATTGGATTTAAAGGTCCCTGAAGACCTTTGAATCTCAGTAGCTAATGAGGCTTGGAGAAGAGAGCTTGAGAGAGGAAAAACTTACTGGCAGTGAGTAATACTGGTGAAAGAGCTCCAGGATTGAGCAAGTTTTGCAGAGAATAATTAGAAATGATCGCATCGGCATTTGGGGCATTTGATTCTTTCCAGCTATAGATCTCCCCTGATGCTGCCTGCGTCCCTGTCCCTGCAGCCCCCCTGTGTCCTGGGGGGGATGCTCCTCCCTGCCGAAACCCTTCAGGTTGTGTTTTCCCAAGTCTTAGGCTGCTTCCAAGGGGACACAGCTCCTTGCAGTTTCCCTTGGGATGAGCTGAGCATCTGGGAGCAGCCATCTCGCATTTCCCTTGGCTCTCCCCGTCGGCTCAGCAGAGCTATCCCTAAAGGAAAGGATTTGGCGTTCAGGCTCCAAGCTCTCCGCTCGGCTAAGCTATCCTTGCCAAAGATGCTTAAACTTGTCCTTCTTCTTCCAGCTGGCCTTGCTGAACTTCTTTCACCCTGAAGAAAAGCTGCACGTTGGAGAAGAAGGTAGACGCGTCCGTCGAAATAAAAGGAGTAAAGGCAGCGAAGGGCCAGACGGTGAGTCCCGCTTTGTTCCTCGCTGCTGCGCTTCTCGTCTTCGCACAGCCGGGCAGAAGACTGCCTCTTTTTTTTTTTTTTTTTTTTTCAGATCATGGTTGTGTTCTTGGTACAGAATTCTGTATGGGGGGCGGGGGGAAATTGGCATCTGTGGCTTTTAATAGTTTCTGTCTGATTTTGATTGACTTCCAGATGAGGAATTCCAGTAGTTCTGATTTCTGCAACGGTAGATCTAGTGATTTTGTGCAAATTAATGCTACATAGTAATTTTGTCCTTGACTCTTCTTCTCTAATAGTAAGGCTCATTTAAGGCTATGATTTGCACTTTTACACCTATATTTGTTGTTCTGTACACTGTCTCTGCTTAAAATCATCAAGTAGCTATTCATAGTCCAACAAACAGCTCGAACATCTGCATCACAAAATGGTAACTGGGTTCTAACGGTGTTTCACAGTGCAGCAGAGGGTCTCGGGTGGGTTCAAAGCCTGTGTGAAGGGAAGTCAGAGTTGTACAGAGCTTGTATTAAGAGAGCGTAGAGTTACAAAAAAATCACAATTATAGATCCGTGGTTCGACAAATATAAAACGAGTGTGTGTGATACAAACCCCAGGGGTGCTGGGCTTCCTCAGTGGTAGCCCGAGACCCCCCTGGTGTGACGATGCCGTCTGTCCTCGGGGTCCGCAGGGCGGCAGCTTCTGCTGCCCTTGGCCATCACCGTCCCTTGGCGAGAGCATCATCCTCCATGTGTCCTGCTCTGCTACGCTCCGATGCCAAAGCCCTTCTCGTGTATGTGGTCTCTTTGTTTCGGACCTTCTGGCTGGTTTTGGACTTGGTGTCTGACAACGCGCCTGCCCTACATGGACGGTCCCCTTGGTGGGATGGGCCATACCGTGATGCAGTGGTACTCGTGCTTTATGCGGGTGCTAAATATTACAACATGCTACTATCTGATAGGGGTTTTTCTTAAGGTGTTTTAATCTTTAATCCGGGAGGCGGAGGCCGTTCCTGATGGCTGCGAAGGTGCCGAGCTGGCGCAGAGGACGTGGCGGTGGGAGCAGGAGCTGGGCTGCGTGGGTCGGTTATGGGTTGGCAGGGCGAGGGACGGCAGCGGCTGCTTGTGGGTAAAGGTCTGGGAGATAATGGGGCAGAATCAGAGAAAGGTGGCGATTCCCCGGAGCTCTCCAGGAGCTGCGCTCTGCGTGCCGAATGGCTGGCTCTTCCCGCGGCAGGTGTCCTCTAAAGCCTCTGGATGTCTGAAGGGTGCTTTAAAGTGGGAAATGAACCCTGCCAAAATTATTTCGTGCTTGAAGTCATGTAATGACACCTTTTTTTATTCTTCTAAGAACGGCGCCAGAATCCTTAGGTAGAGCATAACTTAGGGTAAGTCCTGCGACATCTTTATTGCACCAAAACCACTCTCAACGCTTGTTGAGAACATAAGTAATAAATACCGAAAGAAGTAAAACTAGCTTCACCTTCAGTCCCTTCCCCTAGCTTGAATCCTGCCTGATTTCAGTATGAGGAATTTTATTTCCAATGCTGTCTTTTCGTGATTGTCCATCTACACTGAGACATGAGGACTGCTTCCCGGGTCGAGCTGCTGGAAGAGCTCCCGCGCTTTCCTACTACAGAAAAGCCCAGGTCCATTTTTATACGGAGAGGAGAAGGGGACTGGATGCCAGGGAAAGTAGGGAAAGAAATAACGGAGGAGTAGCAGTAGTTTGTGCATGGCTTGATGCCTGCTAAGCCCAAGTCCTGACTGTGTTATAAACCTCTCGGCTAGCGTTAGTTTTCCTCTCCAGCTCCCTGGCTCCATGAGTTTCCCATCTCCCTTGAAGCCTTCGCAGTTTCACAGTGGAAAAGCGTTTCCCTGTGGCTCTGCTCCAAGAGCGAGCTTCGTGAAACTCCCCAGATTCCTCCTCCCCAAAACGCTGACAAGTATGATGCATTTGGTACAGACTCCCTGAGTGATTCCAGCTAAATGTGGTCCATCATCTTTAGAGCCAGTGTCGCTCTGATGCTCAGATGGCTCAGGCGGGATCCAAGTCCTTTTGCACAGACTCCTTGAAATCTATTCCAGTGTCTTCGCAAGTCGCTTGTGTAAGTAGCAAGTTTCCACTGTATGCGAGCGGTGTAAATGGAGTGCTGCAGGCAGATGTTCGGAGGAATTAGCCTAGTCCGTTAGGCTGCCTAGTGCTGCCTTTCTGTTGCCAGATGTGCAGAGAATCGCTGCACGGTGAGAAATAGATGCTGAAAGTCGGTGGACTAACGAAGGCTTTTCTCATCATCCTTGTGTCCGGGTGAAAACGTGTCCTACTTTTATAACTTGCACTCCTTTCCCAGATTTCATGTTCCCTGAATGCATCAGAGCTGAGTCACTCCAGAAACATAGCTCACTTCCACCGATTATATATGTCTTTTTGTCAGTTAGGGGGTTTGACCCCATAGCGTGATGGAGGTGGGGAAAATTGCCAGAGCGACAGGTCATTTTCCAAGTGGTGTTAGCAGGGTGGGTTATGTTGGCAAGCAGTTACTTCGTGTTTGGCCATCTCAGTTTTATTAGGTAGAGCAGTATTTAACAAGTGTAAGCTGTCAGGGTAGGGATTGACCTCGTAACAACCATAAAATCAATAAATAAACAGAATAGCTTTCTTGTGCAACTCAGGCTGTTTGGTTTAGACCTACATGAAGGAATCTTACTTTTTAGAGAAGGGCAATGAATCATTGAAAAAAACAAATAAGATTATGTCACCGTACTGATAACACCGTTTTCTTCATGAGGTTTGCAAAGGGAAAGTTGATCAAATCTTTGATCTCCAAAGAGCCTCCAGAAGATAAAAGTGGATGAACTATAAATTCCCAGAAGGAGATGTGCTTTCCACTTGAGGCCTCACTAATATTTGTCTGGAATTAATTTTATGAACTTTCAAGTCCTTTCACACATGCAGTGAAAGACCAAAGTGATCCAAGTGTGGAAGCCATGGTTGGAGGGAGGCTGCTCAGTCCCCTTCCACGGCTGTTTGAGTCCTGCTCCTCTCGGTACCGGCAATGGGATGGCTTTGATGATTTATAAATGTCAAAGATAACACGGTTCCTTTCCTAGAAGTTTTTGCTTTTAGGAAAATTTGCTTTCAAGTCATTTGCTGTGAAAGGGGTGGTTTTGAGACAGGTCAGAGCTGGTCCCGAGGGTGATGGCCGTGGCCATGCCCAGAGCACGGAGCCACAGGGACGGGACACGGGAGGCCACGAGCAGCGAAGCTGCTTTGGTGCCTCTTTGTTGCTTGCCGAAAAACCCCAGGAAAAGTTGTGTGCAGTAGTGCAAAGCTATCGGTTGGATCCTGTCACTTCCAAACACGACTCCGGTATTTCAAGGGCTCCTCCTTTGAGGACTCCGGCTTCGGTCCTCCTACCCGCTTGTCATGTTCTATGATCATGTTTGCTTAATTTTTGTTTGTGTCCCTCCACGCACGGTGCCCTGGAACCAATTAAAGAAGCCGAGGTCGTGTCCTGGGACGCGGTGCCTGCCTGGCTCCCCTCTCCGCTCGCCGTCGGTCCAGCCCGGCTCTGGCGTGGGTCACCCGGCCACCGGCAGACGGGATTAATGGGAGCCTGATGCCTGTCCCAGTCCTGAGGAGCACCGATCATCTTTCAGGCCACCTTCCTGCCCGTGCCACCAAAACCAACGTTTGCGCAGCTTTAAAAATTGCCGCGGTTTTTTTCTGCTTCTCAAGGACCAGGATTATCCCCTTTCCGGCTCCATTTTACGGTGTTCTTTCTACTCGGTGTTACTGACTCCACCTGTCACTTAATTTGCTTTAGTTCGCTAAAGCTTGACCCTCTTCAATGTCTTTTTTTTTTATTTTTCTCTTTTTCCCTCCTTCCTTTCTGTCTTGGTGTATTTATGCTGCTGTGGAACCGCTGTTGCTCCCAGATTAACAAATCATTCTGGAGCTGGTAATTAGCAACAGTTGTGCTAAAAGGAACCATCAAGAATGTTAAATTAGTCCACTTTTAAATAAACTGTGTATGAAATGTTAGATCTCTATTCCCAGAGCACCAGTAAAAATGCTGCTGGCTCTTTGCTAACAAAGCCAAAATATGGGAGTAGCATGGTTGTAACTACAGAGACAATTCCGTGCTCTTGAGGTTATAAATAATGACAGAGCATTTACAAAGCAGATGTCAATAGGACTCTTTAAAAAACATTGTTTTAAAAAAAAAGAAAAAAACTAGTTTCTTTTTCTCCTACTTTCATCTCTGTTCCCAGTTAGATCCCTGCCGTGCTGCTTTCCTGGTTTGTTTGGTTTTTGCTTTTTGGTTTGGGTTGGTTTTTTTTTTTTCCTTCCTAGATTTTTTCATATTGAGCTTGGTGAGAAACATAAGTGATTGTTATCCATTCTTTGATTTGGAGCATGGCAGCTGGGAAGAGGCTGAGCAGATGGCTGTCCTTAAGCTGACAACAATTTGGTTCCTACTACTTTGGCAGACCTTACTGCCGAGGAAAGTCCTTGATGAGAACTCATGGGTTTCAGCGCTGCAAATGGCTTTTGTTGAAATGAAAATGAAATTCTGGGAGAGCAGAAGCTCATCTCGATCCCTGCTTCTACCTGGAGCTTTGGAAGTGATGCGCCGGCTACGTGGGTTCAGCCTGTTAGTACTCGCGTGGTGGTTTTCGGATGGTTTGGGGATGGTTTAGCAGGTAGCTGATGCCAGGGTCTGGCCGGGGGTGCCTGGCTCCCTCCGTCCCCCCGGGCAGCCCCTGGTCCTGCAGCCGACCCAGCAGTGCTAACGATGCAATAGGGCTTTTCTTTCTTTTTTTTTTTTCTTTTCTTTTCTTTTTTTTAAATATCTAGATCACAATAGCAACTTTTCCTGCCGGCTTCCTCTCCTTTGGAAAGGGCAGGTTCGTCCCTCTGCCTCCAGAACAATCGGTGCCTTTGTGTCGGCCCCGTGCAATTCCCCAAAGCCCAGGCATTCCCAGAAACGCAGATGTATGAAG